ATGATATTATTAAAAAACAAATTACAAAAATTAAATTTAAAATATAAAATATTAATATATATTTATTAAACCAAAGCCGATCTGAAATTCTAGAAAAGCAACCAACTCGGGTTGAGTTTGATTGGATTGTTTATTAAAAAGTTAAAATATAAAACAATTATATACTCTTATGTATTTCTATTGTTTAACTTTTGTTTAACAAAGTCCGTGCATCGCACGGTCCCCGTCACCATGCCTCTCCTTGCTCCATTATCCCCACCCTGCATTCTTTTTTACTTTCTCTCCTCTCCCCTTCCCACCACTCCAATTAAGCCATTTCACCACTCCAATTAAGCCATGCCCCACTCCGTAATCAATTCCTAAAATGCATCCCCTCCAATCTATATCCACTCTCCCTCATTTAAAATATTCATATTAATTAATAAATAGTTAAATACGGTTAATATTTAATCCCACCCATATTCAATGAGTATTAAATAGTGTTATTACCAAAAGTTAATAAATGCAGTTAGTAAATTACCAAAAATTAAATATTCTTATTAGTACGGTTAGTAAATTACAAAAATTTAATAAATGTTGTTATTAATTAACTCATTAACAACATTTTATAGAAATTCAAAACTCTTTAACTAATTTCTATAAAATTGAGAATTATATTTAATAATTATCAAAAAGTATAAAATTTTATTTATTGTTATTATTATAATTAATAACCAAATAAAAATGGGGGAACAAAATATTATAATGTTAGAAAATGAAATTATTAATTAATTTATATTGAAAAATAAAAGATAAATTAGTGTAATTTTGTTAGTAAACTACAAAATAAAAAATATATATTTAATAAAAATTTTAAAATAATTCAATAAATCCCCATAGTTACACAAATGTAATAAAGTTTTCAAAAATTTTCATAAAACTACATTTCGTAAAATAACATTTTTGAAATTAAAAGATATAAAGTATTTAAAAGTTTATTTAAAATGCATTAAATAATTATTGAAAATTATTAGAATATTTTGGAAATTTTAGGAAAATTTATTACATTTGATAGATTTTGGAAAACCATTGAAAAATTATGTAATTTTCATTGCAAATTATTGAAAATTATTAAAGATAAATGACTATGGGAAATGGAAAAATATAATTTGAACAAATAATTACACAAATTATTAAGATAAATTAGTATAATATTGGAAAAAGAAAATTATTGGTTAGTTTATATTAGAAATTATAAGATAAATTTGTATAATTTGTAAGTAAACCATTTAAAAAGAAAATAAATTATTTAACAAAAATTTAAATAAATTTCAATAAATTTTCAAAATTACACAAGTACAATAAATTTTCCAAAATTTTCATAAAATTATATTTTTGAATATTAAAGACAATTTAGTGTACTTCTAGAAATTTACCATGTGGTTGATACTCAATATATCCTTTTCATCATTTCTATCATCAAATTGAATATGAGGTTTACGGGGGATAGTGTTTTCAAAACTAGATCAAACCAGATGCTTAGGCTGAAAAAATTGGGAACTGGACACCGTTTCACCTCAAAACCGCTTTTTGTCAAAAAACCGTTTATTTGGTTAGAGAACTGTTGACCTAGGTGGTCAAACCGTCATCCCGGACAATAGTTTTAGGCATTTTTTTTGTTTTTCTAATTTTTTATTTTTTCGTTAGAGTAGGTCATCCGTTCGGACCGAACAGTCGGACTGTTCGACCCCAAAACTATTCCCTATCCGGTCCAATTTTAAAAACCTTGGACGGGGAGTGGGTGCCTTGCCTTGAGCTTGGCTTGGTGTGTAGCACGGCCTGGCCTAAGGTTTGGCGGGTTGTGTCGTGCCGACCCAACACGACTCAATTCACACCTCTACTTGAGCCCGCCCAATACTGGGGATGGGGGAGGGAAATTCGAGGATTCTCCATCCTTGATGAGAAGTGTGGTGCCTTGCCCCTAAACTCGCCCGACATTGAGGAGTGGTTACCTTGCCCTGAACCCACCCCATTGTCATAATTATTTGTATTTATTTAGTTAATTAAAATTACATTTAAAAATAATAAAAAGAATAAAAATTAGGGAGAAGTACAAATCAGCCCAATTCAGAATTTACTAGGCCCAAAGTACAGGGGGAATGCATCCTGACCGTGAATTGATGCCAAATTCACGGGAATGATGTGGTTTATAGGGGGGACAGGGCTAGTTGTAGGGGGGGGCTGGAATTCAGAATTCTGCATCACGTGTCTCCGTACTTTTTCCTAAAAATTATTAAAATTACTACAAATTATTAATAAAACTAAATTTATTAAAAAGTATTTATTCATATTCAATTAACAATAATTATTTTTTATAAATCAATATTAAATAAAAAATAAAATTATTAAACCTTTCAAATTTTCCCGTACATCGCACGGGTCCGTGATAGTATAAGTTGATAACATAAAGGTGCAAATGCGGAGCACTCTACCCAAGTACTAAATAGAGCCCTGAATTCGTGGAGGGAGTTTGAAAATATTTCCTAGCCATCATGAGCCTAAGAGTGCCAAAACTGGTAAATTAATTCAGTGGCATTCCCGTACTGATGATGGCAGGTGCATGGTTGCTGGGGTTGACAGGGACCATTGTGGTAGAATTGTTGATTTCAAGGGATACGCCCTTGGATCTTCTTCGCGTGGGTAGCCTGGGAGGCTCCTAAGCTGGCAGTAATGTCTTGGAGCATCCGATTATTATAGAGCGAGAAGGAGATCCTAAGTTGGTCATCTCGTGTCTTAACAGGCTCCATAGAATTTGAGGAACATCATCCACGATTGTTTGTTTAGAAGTCAAGAAAAAGTTTGAGAGAGGCATTCGGTACAGACATATCTTCAGAAGCGGTGGATTGGATTGTTGGTGCGGCGAATTTAATTCTTCTCCAAATACTAGTTTGAATTTTGATTTGTGTAAGCCCTTGGGAATTAGAATTTATTTGCGGTATTGACCTTTAGGCTATGTTGGATTTGAAGGAAAAAATAGAGAAAAGAAGGGAAATATATGGAAATATGTACATGGTTTGTAAAAATTTCTCTATTTTTTCCTTCAAACCAAACACAATCTTAGGGACGTGCCACACTGTTACCCCCAAATTTGTGTAGCCCCTCTAGCTTTATGAAAAAAAAAAGATAAAAGGTACGGAAATTCAAAGATAATGAAGAACAACTTGTAGGAAAAAACAGCACCACCGCGGAATAATGGTAAATTTGATCAATTAATGATTGTAGATATTTAGCTTGGGAATTGGGATACGAACCTACAAATTGGTATAGGGAAGCAAACATTCCAGTAATACTGTTGCCCAGACCCATATAACCACGCCCAACATTCCACATTAGCTCTACCACATTAATGGACGCATTTAAGTTTATACTATAAATGATAATTTTCTTTATTCTTTTCTTGGCATGTATATGCATTATTAATTTTTTTAAAGAAATGCCAAATGTGGATCCGTTTGGTTTGCAGGAATAGGGGTTTGGAATCCGAATCAGAATGGATTATTCTGATTCCAACTGTTTGATTTGGCAGAATTAGAATTCTATTCTCATTCCTGTTGGAATGACATTCTTCCATTTGATGGAATGGCCATTTCCTGCCCCTCCCTCGAGAATGAAATTCCATTCTTGCTGATTTTAATTTCCATTCCCATTCCTGTTTGAACCAAACAGACTTTGGGAATGAATAATTCCGATTCCAATTCCGGAGGATTTCATTTCTGATTCTTTCTGACTACGAACCAAATGGACCCTAAAATTTCTTAGGGTCCGTTTGATTCACAGTTGGAATCGGAATCGAAATCCTCCAGAGTCAGAATGGAATGGTCCATTCCTATAGTCTTTTTGGTTCAAACAGAAATGAGAATAGGAATTGAAAATCAGTAGAAAGAGGATTTCATTCCCAAGGGAAGGGCAGGGAATGGCCATTCCAGCCATGGTTTTCAAAACTAGACTGGACTAGACGGTCAGATCGGAAAAACCGGGAACTGGTCAAGTGATCGGTTTCAGTTTTCCCAAAACTGGAAATTTGCCCAAAACCGTTGATTTTGGTCAACAAACCGCTGACCTGGGCGATTAATCGTTTGAACGATTTTAACCCTTTTTTATTTTTTTTTATCAAAACAGGCCGACCATTCGATATCCAGATCGTTTTTAAAAACCATGATTTCAGCAGGAATAAATAAGATTCCATCAAACCAAATATTTGAAATCATAATAACCCATTCTAATTCCGATTCGAGACCCATTCTAGTATGGCTTAGAATACGTGCCTCTTTACACCATATATGATATTCTTGTATGCAGTACAAGAAAAAAAATTTAGGAATTATATTATTAGCATTGCTTTATTGCTCAGATCTAGTAGAAGATGTTTTGGTAAATTCTTATCTGACATGCCCAAAAGTGAAAGAATAGTTTCATTGTCACTCGTCTCACTACACTCATCACCATGAGAGTGATACGCTCGGAGTCTTTGCACGTACTCTTTTGACTATTGTAATGGCAAATATTTTTTGGACTCATCCAATGAGGATGGTAATTCGTATAATTAAGTATTTGATCAAGAAGCATGGTTTTTAAAATCGAACCAGTCAGGGGTTTGGTTACCGGTTTGAACGGTGGCTGATTGTTCGATTCGAACAGTCGGTCAATTCTGACAAAAAAATTAAAAAAATTGAAAAATCATCAAAACCATTTGAACGGTTTAAATGATTAAATGACTAATTCAGCGGTTTATTAATCAAAATCAACTGTTTTGAAGAAAAACAGACTGGTTCTCGGTTTTTCCGGTCTGATCTGATTTTGAAAACCATGTCATGAAATAATGAAAGTTTGAATTTCTGTTACAAAAATTGGAATAGCAATTACTAACAAATCACTACACTAGATGGACGGTTAAGATTACTAGCAAGGAAAATCCTTAACTAAAAATAAATTTGCAAGTGAGATTCAGAGTCATACCAAGAAGATGAGGCCGAAAACAAATTCTTCAATAAAAGAAACATAAACAAATTTGAGACATTAGGTGGACAGCTTGAGGGATTTATGGGGACACAGGATACGAGATGAGAGTGCAGAACCCAAGGAAAAAGGAACATCACATGGTCCTGATAACAAGGCTTTGACTTGTTATTTTACAAATTTTCTAATCTGCAAGTAATTAGGAACCTTCCAACCCAACACACAGTCACTAAAGCTCTGTCTCTCTCTCTCATTGGATGGTGGAGTAGCTATGACTAACGACTGTGAATCCTCCGTCTACAGCCAAGTTATGTCCACTGATATAAACTGATTCGTTTGAAGCAAGAAATAGAGCAGCCTCTGCTATATGGGCGGGCTTTAACACAGTGCCCTTCAAGTTGGCTGCAGCACAAGTGACAGCTTCCATGCTATCTGGCTCCAGATTGTAGGCATTGCAGGCCAATGGGGTAGCGACTCCGAAAGGGGAGATGCAGTTGACCCTGATGCCATGAGCCCCCAGCTCACTACAGGCTGACCGGACCAGCCCCACCAATGCGTGCTTAGAAGTGGTGTATGCATGAGGAGCAGAGCCACCCAAGGCCGCGGCCACACTTGCAGTGCAGATGATCGAGCCGCGTATCTTTCTCTCCACCATAGCCCGACCTGCGTGCTTAATGGTCGATGCCACCCCTCGCACATTGGTGACCATGGTGTTGTCGAAATCTTCCATGTCCATGTCTAGAATGCTGCTTAGGGGACCCAAGATCCCTGCATTGCTGAACAGAACGTCCAAGCTTCCATACTTGTCTAAGGTGAAGCCCACCATCTCTTCCACCTGCTTTTCGTCTCGCACATCACAGTGCCTGTAACTTGCTTTTTCTTCGCCTATGGAAGCCACAACTTTATGGCCCAGTTCATCTTGGACATCGGCAATGACAACTCGGGCTCCATTTGCGGCAAATACTCTGGCTGCCGCCTCCCCGATCCCACTCGCTGCTCCGGTGATTATGGCAACCTTACCTTCTAACCTGAGGAGTGTAAACAATTTTGATCCTTAACACGTTAGAGAAATTCCTAGAGATAAATACAGATCTAGGAGTCACTTGTTGGGGGGAAGATAATGGAGAAGAGATAGGAGAGGAAAGACGGTTTCACCTTGGCTTTGACATTGCAGGGATCCTTCTGATCTTTGATCTTCTGATGTTCTTTTCCTTGAACCGCTCGGTCAAATTAACAGACGAGGCTCTCTGAACTTCTGCTTTATATATATATATATATATATATATATATTATATATATACACTAGCCTGGGGACCTGCTGGCACGAGCAGAAGTATAGGGGGCTGCAAAGGCTGAAAATCACATTCTTATTTCGCAAAAAGAAATATATATATAAAGCAATAACAATAATTTCGGTTACTCGAGTTATTTATTTAATAGGTTTAATTAGAAAAAAGAAAAATAAATTACCTCCATTAAAATAAAAAATATTCAAAATTTTAAAAAACAAAACCTACACAACCCCTCTCTTTCTTGACATTGGGCCCTATTGGGTCCCACATAACCCTCTCTCTAACATTGGGCCCCACACAAGCGCCTCTCTTAACACCGGGTTACACACACCCCCTCCCCCCTCTCCCTATTTTCCCTTGATTGTGAAACCCGGTCCCACACAACCCATCTCTCTCTCTCTCTCTTATGATACTAGGTCCCACATAACCAATGTTTTGAACCCACCATTGGCCTAGTTGATTACAGGTTCAGTTCTACTAAAACTTGGGAATTACTCAAAAAAAGGTCCAACGCAGGTGGTTTAACTGTTGAACTGTATGACTAGATCATCGAGTTAACTTTGCCCTTTAATATATGTATAAATTTTCGAAGGTCATAACTTTGCCCTTGAAGATTGGGGGTGATTTTTTTTATTTTAGATAATTTTTCAGAGACCCATGCATCACAAGTTTCCGTAAGCACTTTGCCCCATTATTGTCATGAAAAAAATCTTTTTTAGGCTGCAACCATATTTTTTTATTTTTTTAATATTTTATTAAAAATTAAATTAAAAAATATAAATTAAATATAAAATAATACATATATTACATTTAAAATATAAATGTACTCTAATGATCCTCATGAAATGAAGTTCCTTTTGTCTAAACTACAATTGGCCTGAACCCCCTCAAAAGGGTATGTAGGCAACCTTGGTTCACAACCTAGGCCCGACCATTTTTTTTTAAAATCTCCTTTCGTCAAAATCCGATTCCCATCTTTATTCCTCCTTTTGATCTTACAAGAATTTGAACCCATCTCACAAACTTACAACTTTGACCTTGAGTTAGAATTTGCTCTCATGGGGATAGAGGGGGAACCTCTTAAAGAAGAAATCCCTCAAAGCATCATTGACCAAGTCGAGCGATCAGAAGAAAAAAGACCTGAAGTTGACTTAGAAGAAGTTAACCTTGGGACTAATGATGATCCAAAGCTAGTTAAAATTGGGAGCCATTTGAGCCTAAAGCAGAGAATTGACCTGATGGAATGGTTGAAAGAATTTAGGGATGTGTTTGCATGGTCCTATAAAGATATGCTAGGATTGGATACAGACTTAGTGGTACACAAGATTCTCATATATCCCAATGCAAAGCCAGTAAAGCAAAATTCTCAGAAAATCCCATCCTAAATGGTCTCTAAAGATTCAAGAAGAGGTTAAGAAGCAATTTGATGTAAGATTTCTAGAAGCGGCAACCTACCCCAAGTGGTTATCCAATATTGTTTCGGTGCCTAAGAAGGATAGGAAGGTCAGAATGTGTGTAGATTTTTTGGATTTAAATAGGACCAGTCACAAGGATGACTTCTCCTACCAAACATTAAAATTCTTGTTGATGACACAGTAAGGCATGGAATATTTTCTTTCATGGATGGAATCTCAGGATATAACCAAATCAAAATGATAGAATATGACAAAGAAAATATGGCTTTCATAACACCGTGGGGAACATTTTGCTACAAGGCCATGCCATTTGGACTTAAGAATATTGGGGCAACATATCAGAGAGCAATGACAACATTATTTCACAACATGATCCATAGAGAATTAGAGGTATATACATGGATAATATGATTGCCAAGTCTAAAAGGGCAGAGAATCATTTGAAGGACCTTAGAAGGCTCTTTCAAAGACTTGGGCAATTTTTCCTTAGATTAAACCCCAAAAAATGCGTATTTGGGGCATCCTCAAAAAAACTATTGGGTTTCATTGTTAGTCAAAGAGGAACTGAGATTGACCCTATTAAGATCAAAGCAATTATCGAGATGCCTCCTTCCCATACTGAAAAAGAAGTCAGCAGCTTTTTGGGAAGACTACAATATGATCATAGGTTCATAGCGCAACTTGCACCAATATGTAAGCCAATTTTCAAGTTGCTAAGGTAGAATACCTAGTGATATGGAATGACGACTATCAAGAAGTATTTGACAAAATGAAGGAGTACTTGACCAATCCATCGGTATTAGTTCCCCCTAGGCTAAAGGAACCCTTACTCATGTATTTGTTAGTACAAGAAGACTCTGTTGGATGCATACTAGGACAACATGATGAGATTGGAAAAAAGAAATGAGCCATTTACTATTTGAATCGAAAGTTCTATAACTACGAGACAAAATACACTATGTTAGAAAAAACATGTCTAGCCCTCATTTGGGCCTGTTAGAAACTGTCATTACTTGTTAGTCCACCCAATGTTGCTCGTATCTAGAATGATCCCTATCAAGTATCTGTTTGAGAGACTTGCGGTTACCAATCAAGTCTCTTGGTGGATCATGCTCATTTTTGAATATGACATCAAGTGTGGCACAAAAGGGAATCAAGGGGTAGGTCATCGCTGACCATTTTGGAGATAGAAGTTGGGGAAAAGGTGGAATGCATATTTTAATGAAGCTTCAAATCAAAGTGGATGAAGAGCAGGAGTGATCCTTGTGGACCCTTAGGGCACTCACTTTCCCTTAGCCATCTGTTTGGATTTTCCCAACACCAATAATACATTTAAGTGAGAAGCATGCCGAAGAATAGTCCAAATGGCATTAGACTAGGGCATCAATGAATTAGAAATTTTTAATTTGTGAAAGATGAAAAACTAAAATAAAATATAAATAAATCGATATATATATATATTATATTTCAAAACAACATTATTTATTCTATGTATAATAACACCAACCAATGTTTAGAAAGCTGGATGAGACCAACTAGTSAGATTATTGTTAAACCATGACCCAATCCTTAACCAATAATGCACCTAACCATATTTTCTCCAAAAAGAAAAAGCCAAAACCATCTACCAAACTGGTCTAACCCAAGAACTAATGAATTGGTTTTGGGTAACTTTTTTTCTACCTATGTGTTTTAAAGTACTAAAGGCACCTTACCCTACTATTTTTTCCATAAAAACAAGGGTGATCATTTTAGCGAGTTGGAAAATTTCACTCTTGGACCTAGATTTTGTGTTTAAGCCCTAGATGAGGCTCGGGCCCTCATTAGAGCCCCAAATTTTATGGTTGGGCATAGGCCTAATTGAAGGGATGGGATATCCATCACATGGATGTCCAAGTCTTGTGGAATGGACTGGGCGAATTTCAAAAAAAATTTCTCCCATCTTTGCAGGGAATCGAATTCCCTATTTTAGAAAACATATTTTCAATGATCAATCTTGAACCATGAACCAAATCAGATCTAAACCAAAAAGAATAGGAGGGAGGATGTACCTAATACGGAGAAACAATATCTCCCAATGAAGGTGTTCACGCCTAAGGAAGGATCCAAAATCTGCTCCCACTGAAGATGGCGCAGTGCAGGATGGAGCAGAATCAACAATGTTCTTCCAAAAGAACTTGACCCTTTGCAAAATCAACTGGATGGCTGGTGAGTACAGCTCCAACCAATCTTTTCCCAAAAGATTGGAATCAAGATCAGATCTTGATTTCTCCCAAGAACTGGAGATCGAACTGAAGGTGATGGTGGCGGCAGGAAGGAGGCGGCAAGAGAGAATTCGCAGGGTGCAGAAATCTCTCTTCTTGTGATTTTCAGCTCTGAAGAGAATTGAACATCAATCACTAACTATTGCCGCCCCTTTCTCTTTTCATAATCTTAAAGGGATCAGCTCCTAATCCCCTTAGGAGTTGCTAATCCAAATCATATTTGGATTAGAAGTCCCTTTAAGTGATAAGATAGGGTCTAGGCCCAATCCTATCAGCTGATCCATCTCAGAATTCGCCCCTTTTAATTGACTTATCAAATCAGCTCAGTTCGAAATGGGCTTAAGGCCCATTTAAGGTTATGTACTCACTTAGCCTTACAAACTGCTGCCCAGTTGGGCTTCATTGTATGGCGTGGGACCCAAACATTGATCTACACATCAGCCACATGGGTTCAGCCCAGCCTTTGTTACAAGGCCTGGCCGAATACA